GAAATATATTTATGTTTGTGGTTGTAATGTGACAAAATATGGAAAAGTTCAAGGGGTATGAATACTTTTGCAAACCACTGTATATATAGTCTGGCAAAGGACTTGAATGAGGACAATAAAACAATGCTGTGAACAATCCTCGATTTCTACAAGGAGCAGAAATCAAAGGTTAAAAAATATATATACAAAAGTGTAGTATGACCAGTGACTTTGACAAATAGGCAGAAGACAGAACTTGAAGTGTCAGTTGTGAAATGTTAAGATTCTACTTAGAGATGACATGGAAAGGTTTAGAAATGAGCTCATCAGAGGTACGGCACAGATTAATAACTAAGAGATAGTGTTAGAAAGACCAGATTGAGATGATTTGGACATGTGCAGAGGAAGCACAGATGCCTTATTGGAAGAAGGATGTTATACCTAGATCTACTAAAAACCTTAGGGCAGTGGTTCTTAACCTGGGTTCGATCGAACCCTAGGGGTTCGATGAGCCAGTCTCAGGGGTTCGGTGGAGCCTCTGCCGCGGAGGTAAAGACACACTTGTGTAAAGTTGTGACGACACGCCCCGCTTGGCCATGACTTGCTGCAGAGGATCACGTGAGATTGCTTGGCCAATCAGTGCTGGCCCCAAAAAAGTATTTTGTGGATTCAAAACGACAAAAAAAAAAACAATTAACTTTCAAATTAAAAAAGTTATTAAAAATGTTAAACCCGTCAAAAAATCCTAATTTATTTTTTATTAGTAAGATAGCAAAAAAATATTTTTTGTGGGGCTGAAATATTTTTGGGGGCCAGAATAAAGTCATACTGTAATTTGTTGTGAGTTCATGCACTGTGTTGGCTTTGTTCTTTGAGCAAGGTGATGTTCATGCACGGCTCATTTTATACACCAGTAAAAAAAAAAAACCATATACCTATGGCTTGAATTTGGGGAAAAAAATCATATTTTGTTTATGACTAAAAAGGGTTCAGTGAATGCATGTACGAAACTGGTGGGTTCGGTACCTCAAAAAAAGTTTAAGAACCACTGCCTTAGGGACTACAGTAAACACTGTATTTATTCTCTCCTATGTTTCCACTCACTGGCGCCCAGGTTGACAAGGTGCAAACGATGACATGGGCCATGGTCGGCATGGGTAAATGGACTTGGATCCCGATCATAACTGTTTTGCAGCTCTAGTTATTTTTTATTCTCTTCACACTGCATCACATCACTGAACTTTTCATTTGTCTTTTCTAAATGAGTTTTCTGTTCTTTGTTCTTTAGTGTTTTGTCACATGAAAAAAACACAACTGTTTATTATTGGTGCCCAATATCATTTTTATTTTTTGAGAAACATTTTGTTTATATCATATCAACTAGATAACAGTTTTGCTTCATCAATTTTAAAAATCAGATTTAACATAGTTTTACTTCCCTGATGGATTAAACAATGATGACTTTAATTTTGGTTGGCCGCACCAGCCTGGGAGCGCAGCGCCATCCGGCGTAGCACTGGCAGGTGAAGTTCTCAGCCCAGGCGCTCAGGTCGCTGGCGGCCGGAAAACCGACAGCCACGTACTTCCCTCCAGCTCGAAGAATGTGGAAGGAGATGGGATTGAGGTGTAGATAGTGAGGGGAGTCGTAGTTCCTCCTCACACAGCGGCCATTTCCCTGACACAAGAGCTCGCTGCAGAGCATGGCGGCAGCCGTCACGTTGGCGATGTACGGGTTGAAGGTGGAGCTCAGGTACTCAGACAGAGACTGGCAGGCAGCCTGGACATGAGAGGTGGACATCAGTGTGAACAGCTGGACAGTGGTTTGAGAAATCCTAAACAACCTGGACTGGAAACATGTTTTTATGTCTTGGTCACATTACCAACATGTTTAATGATGCTCGCTGTGAAATAATGGCTGCTTTGGTCAACATTTGTTTTCTAGATGTAACATCATCTCGTTATGTCACATTGAAACTGTTGTTCCTGACTCTCTGCTTCAATCACACCAAATTTTAACTTAATATCTGAAAAGAAATTAACTAAATTATAGCCATATTTGTGTTTTCTACATTCAGTTGACTGTGGCGGCCATATTGAAATGGTTGGGTTTCAAAGATGATCTAATCGTAAATATAAATTTAATTATTATTTACTGAAAGTTCCATTAAAATTTGTGGTTAAGGAGGTATTTTGTTTTCAGAAAGATAATTATTACCCTCTGAAATAAAGCTGTAAGCACTCAGAAAGAATATGTGTTTAGGTTCAGGCTCAGCTACATTAAATCTTTGCTCAGTTACTGTAAAACTGATTGAATTATGGCCATCGTTGTTTCTTATGCTTGGTTAGCTGTGGCAGCCTTCTTGACTTAGGTTCACGATGCATACTCAGTGACTACTTTCTGCTATTATGCCCAATGGTTCATGTGATATTTCGCTAACAGAGACACATGAGCACACCATAGTTTCTACACATATTTAACTTGGATATTTCAAACTTTTCCCATATTTAAATTTCCTGACTTTATCATATCCTTATCAAATCAACAAAAATGTGTTTTTAATGTTTCATTTTTAAACTTTGTCAATATTTTAAAATAAATTATGCAAGTTTCAAAATCAAAGCAGAAAATCGTTGTTTCGTTTGGCATTTCACATGTGACAACAAATCCCAAACATATTTACTGAAGGTTGCAGAGCTGAAACCAGACAGTGGAGTTTGAATTTGTTAATTTTTGTTCAAAAAACACAAAAGTCTCTTAAGATGAATTAATTTGTCATATGCAGTCAAACCAACAGTTTTTCACTAAAAGAAAAACCTCCTCAAACTAAAACCTTTCATCTCAGTGTCCTTGCTTCTTTAAAACCTCAGGTTCAAGCTCACAGTCTGAAGTTTGTTTTTCTTCTTCAGAACCTTATGAACATTCTTGGCTGAGAAATTGCATATTTTTGTATTTAACTTTCTTTGCACATGCTTTTTGTTCTTTATGGAGCCACCGAGGGGACAAGGTTTTTTTTTTTCCCTTTTGCGTTACCTCGCAATACTCTTTGCATTCCCATGCCAACGTTTAATATTTTGTGGAAAGTGTTTTAAATCAGACTTTTATTTTGAAATATTCATCTTCAAAACAGGATTGTGTCGCCACAAGTTCGGGAAACCTATGGTGATATTGCATGACTGTACAGAGTTAAAATATCTGCATATTATCTACATATAACTCCATGCCTGGATGTGATATGTTCATTCCGAAGCTGAATAGCCTATATGCCACGGTCATTAATGACGTATTTCCGGTAAAATTCTTGCCACGCTCCTCCCTTCCACTTCCTGTTTACTGCCTATGTTTTACCGTTAGCTGCTAGTACTAGTCCGTGAAAAAGTCACAAAAGTTAAAGCATCTGTGATCTACTGGTATAAAATGTGAGTTCTGTTGTGTGTCGTTGTGTCCACTAACCAGCAGGTACAACAGAGTAGTTAGTTTTTATCCTTTCCTTTAGATGAGGAGGTGACAGCTGTGGATCATAGCATTATAGGGAAAACTTATCTTTAAAAGCTCACGCTTGTGTTTGTAATCAGCATTTCTAACCTGAGGATATTCAAGAGTCAGCATCAGAAATGAGAAGACGGAGGTTACAAAAGGAAAATGTACATTTATCCCCTTTTACTGCCAAGACGAGAGAGGAAAGACCACCTCCACACAACAGCTAGCAGGAAGCTAACACAGCAGCTGGTATAGGTAGGTGTATGTGTGCGTTTGTGTTATATGAAATGTTTTTATGCGACTTAGTCATGAGTTTTATGGAAAAGTAAGAACTTGTTAGAGTGTATATTACAACGTAGACTAAAGCCGAGTGACGAGCGCCCCCCCTCCCCCCGAGTACCGAGAGCAGCAGAACCTCCACCTGATAATCATTACGTTTTCAGTTCACTAACATCGGGGAAAACGATCCAAACCAGACAAGTAGCCCATCAATTTAAAGCCCAGACTCTGCTCTTTCCAACAATATAAGTGTCGCAGCTCTACGTGAAAAATTCACAGAACAAGCAGCCACAGAATAGTGACAAAGGCTAAATACTGGAACCATAAACACGAACATCTTTCCTTTGTTTTTATGGCTTTAATCCACTTTGGAGTGATTTTTTTCCACTTGGCTGGACCTGTA